GCCTTTCCCACTCATTCTTTCCCGCACATCCCTGCTTCCTGTATCTTGACCTGGTCCCTGAGACTGGTAGACACACAATACAATTGACTGGCCTGGACTGGATGCTCTTTAATGGCCCTCATCATGCTAGGATTCTAAACATTATAGGAATTCCACTGGCCATATTAAAATACCTGTGGCTAGGCCTTGGAAGGGGTGAAAGTCCTAGAAATAATGGAAGCATGACAAGGGACATCACCCTTTACCCTCAAGATACAGAGATTAAGCAACTATCCAGGGCTTTGGGAGGGAAAAGGAGGATCCGCAGCAGATTAGCTCTCAGGGGAGGGAGCTTGTTAAGGGGATTTAAAGTCTACTGTCTTAATAACCCTTTGTAGTTCTTTGGCGCCTGCCTTTTCTTGAAGCTCAAAGTATTTTGCAAACATTAGCTCTTTAATCCCTCCAGCAGCCTTGTGAAGTGGGTAGGTGTGAATATCTTATCCCCACTTGGGAACCTTGAATTTGAGAGGAAAGGGGCCCCAATTGGTGATGAGTACAGAATGAGGGGGTGCAGCCCCACCAAATGGATTAAATTGAATTGTCATTTATTCCCCCTCATTGTTCTATCAGAGGAGCAGTGCCTGGTTGGGAAAACATGAGTTTTGGAACCAACCAAAGTTGGAATACCAGGTTGGTCTCTTTATAGGCATGTGACTTTGAGAAAATCCCGCAACTTCTGTGAAATTCAGTTTTCTCTTTGGGAAAGAGGTTACTAATACTCCTACATCACCAGCTTATATTCTGAGACTGTAGGTGTACTGTGCATGGCAAAGTCATGGGGATATTGGAGTTTTCAATGAATATATTTAAGAAGTTTTTGTTTTTGTTTTGTTGTTAAGACTCATTGAATATTCGACACGATATTATGTAGGGTTTCGTGTTCTAGACAGTGAAGTTCAAGGTCCTGAGATCAGAAAATAGATTTATTAAAATATGATAGAAAGAATATTAGAAAATCCTTGGGAAGACTAAAGAAAAAACTTCAAGGCTGTACTTCCAAGAATAGTGTTCAAAACCATAACACAATGGATTATTATTCAGCAACAGAAGGAAATGAAGTACTGATCCTGCTACAATATTATGAACCTTGAAAACATTCTGTTAAGTGAAAGAAGCCACTCACAAAAGATTGCATGCCGTATGATTCTATTGATATGAAATGTCCAGAATAAGCAAATAGACAGAAAGCTGATTAGCAGTTGCTAGAACTGGGAGTGTCTAGGGGGTGGAGATGGGAATTTAAGAGGTGGCTGCTAAGAGGTATTGGGTTTCTTTAGAGGGTAATAAAAATGTTCTAAAATTCATCATAGTGATAGATATATAATTTATGAATATACTAGAAAACATGGAATTGTACTTTTGAAATGGGCAAATCATATGATATGCAAATGTATTTTAATAAAGCTGTTAGAAAAAATTAAAAACACGGAAAGGATAATGAGAAGAGGGTCACTGTGGTCACACACTGATGTCAATGCCACATATGAAATGTCAAAAACTTACCTTTAATACAACCTCCACCATGCCACCTTTACCCCTGGAACTCAGCTGAGTAAACATCGACACCAGTGAAAACTTGACCGAAGATGGGTAGAGTAAGAGAGAGAGAGAAAGAGAGAGAGGGAAAGTGAGAAAGCAAACCACCAGGGTCCAGGACTCAAACCACAGTCAGCTATACGGAGGTCCAGTTCCCTTAACTACCATGCCACCTGCCAGCCCTGAGTGGACTTTTTTTTTAACTCGAGAAGTTAAAAGAAAAGTGAAAGAGAAAGTATGGAGTATAATGAGAAGATTGATGAATTGGAATGTGCATAGACTTCAGAGCTCACCAAACCTGGGTTTGACTCTCAGGCCTATCCCTTATCAACATAGGAGATCCTAAGTCACTCTGTCTCTGAGCCTCTCCTGAAAAATAATGGCTGCATAAGACTGTTTCCAGCACTGAGATAATAGATAATAAATGCTAAATAAATCTTAGTTTCTGCCAATATAAAAAAGGAAAACAAATGTTATTACTTATATTGATTTTGATTAGATCAGATAACATCTAATCAAAATTTCCATGTTCCTAGTTTTTAAAAAATATGCTACTGATTTATTTTATTCTTACATTGAGTTTGTTTTCTGTGAGTGTTCTCCTCTTGCTTGTGAGAGTTTTATAAGCTCAACTATATACAAATTACATTTAAAAAATTCAGGGATAAAGATATCCCAAAATGTCAATAATGGATGACTCTAGTTTGTAAAAGTATGAATTTTTTTTCCATTTCTTTATTACTTTTCACTTGTTTCCTTCTTTCAATACTTTTAAACTTGGATATGATTAAACAAACAAAGCTAAAAAAGAAAATAAAAGCTTTATGAGCTTGGCGTATATGAAAAAAAGGAGCAGCAACTTTTCCATGTAGTCATATTATCTGGTGTGCAGAAATGAGTCCTAATTAGCAGACTGCCACATCGTCTGCTCGACCAGCTCCTGTGTAACGCCTGACATTTCCTGACCTACCCATCCTGTCTCAGTATTCCAGATACCAGCTCAGGTTAGAAAATAGGGGAATTCTTCACACATTTTCCAGAAACCTTTGAAATTTGGTAAACTTCCCAGGACTTTGACTCTCAACACATGGGGTCCAAGTCCAATGTTATTCTTGAGTTATTTAAAGTAGAAAGATAACTCTAACTTTCATCCTTAGCATTTTCCCCCATTTTGGTCAAATTGGATCCTCAAGGAACTTATTTACTATAGTCTGTAAAACAACAACAAAAACAAAAACAAGCAATGCTTCCTGTGCTAGATCCTCCAGGAGCCTTCAGTAACCATGTTATAGCTCTCCTGATTACAAGTTCTTTATTTTTCTAAAGCATAGTCCTTTCTAAGTTTCTGATGGCCTCCTTAGCTAAGTTTCTGATGGCCTCCTTAGCAGTCTGTCCTATATTAAATTAGAGTGACCCTGATGTTTTGATAGTATTTGAGCGTACCAAAGACTATATCAAAAAAAAAAAAAAAAGGTTTAGGAACCAAAGCTATCTAAGAAGACATAAAAATAAAAGTATTGTATCACAAAAACATGGGAGAAATAATTTAGAATGTCTCTGACATTCTTCTCTGTAACTTCTCAGAAATACATGTCATGTCACATCATTAACCCTCTGTCTGTCTTCTCTTGATTTTCTATTTCCTTTGCTCTAAGAGTCACACACTTTAGCATGCCAATGAAGGCCTCTTACACCTGCTTCTCTAAATCTTTCTCCTGTTCTTCTCAGTGTTAAGCATCTTCTCTTCCAACTACATCAAATTTTTGCCATTTTTCCAAATAAATATATTCATTTTTACCTCTTCACCCATAGACAAACTCCCTCTATATAAAATTTATTTTCCTTCTTCACCTTAAGACCCACTCAATTCCAACTATTCTGGAAGATTTCCTGGTTCCTCCAGAGAAAAGCTTTCTCCTGTTTGTTCCCAAAGCACAGAGACTTCATTTAATAGTCGATCTACAAACATTTGTTAAAGGCCCTAGTTCTAAATTGCACTGTGCTCTGATAACCTCTTGCCCTTGTGTCTATTACAGCAAGTGCCACATAGGGTGTCATTATTTGTTTACCTGTCTGTAAGGTGTGCCCTGGCGACAGGCAGCCGTAAGAAATGTTTGGTTAGGACAATGGCACTATTTCCTCTCTTCTCCAGACCCACCCAGCTAGACTCACTTGTGCCTGCTGTCTCTGAGTCCAAAGTAGAACAAGGAGAGCAGGTTACCTCAGACCCAGCCTCAGAGAACTCCAGGGGAGACCACATCCTCCCATGCCCACAGTCTGTCGGCCTTTCTCTCATCCCTATGTATTCGTGCAGATCATATAGTTGGGTTTATATTACAGTTTCTCCATCAAGCACGTGGTTTCCCTGCTGCCACAGGAACTAACCTGCTATGTTGGTGTTTTCTATCATCTTGTCTGAGCCAGACTCTTAATCCAGGTAAGAGTCTTTTTCCAGGTAGACCTAGTGGAGGCTAGAGTTGTTGCCACATTTTGGGGGCAAAAAATCTCCTTGATTATGTCCTACTTTTGTGCTCCAAGGACTCTTTTGACTGTGAACTCATTGAAGCACCCTACCTAATTTTTTTCTGCTGAACTAGACCTTCCTCCTTGAGTAGCGTGGACCTTTGGACCATGCCTATTTCCTCCTCCCAGGAAGGCTGATAGCCCCCTAACTTTGACCCTCCCAGGAAGCCTCTCCTTTCCTACAAAAGCTTCACTCAGGTCAGCAGGTGATGTGGAGGGTAAGGGATTGAATTCCACATGGATGACTTTGCAGTTCAAGCCCTGGATCCAGTGGCTTGAAAATCACACCAGGAACATTTAAATGTGCACGCCCGAAATCCCAAGAGGAGAGTTGAAGAGAAGGGATTGCGATATGGTCATTTCCATGGGGAGGTGATTTCTCTCTCTCTCTCTCTCTCTCTCTCTTTCTCTTTCACTCACTCTTACTCCCCTGGTGAACACACATGCCCTATAGTAAAAAACAAAACAAACCAAAAAAAACAAACAAACAAACAAACAAAAAACTTCACTCAACAGTACTAATTGAAGGCTCAAGCTGAAGAGACAAGCCAAGATGATAGTAAAAGGCATGATTAAAATAGTCACAAATAGCAGACCATTGGGCAGCGGCCTGGGCTGCTTAGTCAGATGCAGGAAGGATAAGAGTATCAAGTGTGAGCTAGGAATGTTGGCATCAGGGTGCAGTGGACATTAGTAGGGTGGGACACAGGGTCTCCAATGCAACCCCAGATGAGCTCAGGGTATTTTTCTTGTATAATCAGGCCCCATTGTGAATCTGATAGGATTATGAAGACAAGGCAGGGAAAATGGGGCCAAGGACCAGGCACAGGGAGATTGGAGTGAGGGGCAGTGAGTGAGGCTAGACAGGGAATGTTTAGGGAGACCACTATAACTGTGTGCCCTGGCCAATGACGAGGTGGACAACATGCAATCTGAGTTCTGGGCACCAGATGATGGAGTGTTTTCTAAGGCTAAACTGAAGTCGAGAAAAAGAAAAGAGGAAGCCACAGAAAAAGATTTTGATGGACTTTTCTTAGGGAAGGGAAACATAAAAGCATAGGCAGAAAGAAACCTGTAATTGGGTATGGAAAGTCTAAAAGAGCAAAAACACGTCCAGTTCTTTGTATGTTTAAATCTTAAAAAGGACTGCTCACACCAATAAAACATTTTATGAAACTTAATATTATCTAATATTTATTGAACACTTAGAATGTGCCAGGAATACTGTAGTTACAGGTGAATTTTCTTATTTAACCCTTACAACAACCTTATGAATCAGGTTCTATTAGGATCCCCTCTTTTTAGAAAAAAATGGAACTTTCAATTGGAAACTAAAAGAATGCCTGTCAATTGGACAATGGTCTGGTAAATTGGATTCTCTTTGCCATAAACTAATAGCCATCATAAAGAATAAGTTAAAACCATACCAGTTGACACAGGAAAGAGTTTTACGAGGTCATTTAGAGTGAGAAAAGCCAGATATAGATAAATGTCTTCAAATAATCCTATATTTGTTTACAAATTAAATAAACCTTTTATCTCTCTATATGTGTGTGTGTGTGTATGTGTGTGTGTTTATGTATATACTGTATAGAGTAATGTGCAAATAATGATTCCATTTTCAGAACAAAACAGAACTTGCGTATGGGCATTTCTATTCAATTATGTATGAATATTAGAAAATTTTTACATTGGTCTTTTGATCTTGACTGAGAGAGAAGAGAAAGGGATAAACTAGGGAAAGCAAGCAATTGGGTTATATATCTTTGCATCATTGATCTGGTATATAACAAATGTATTGTTTTCTTTATTTGAAACCATCAAATAAGGATAACTTATCATAAATATATTCCCCAAAGCAACATGTTCTTCATCTCAGTGCTATACAATAAAGGAGAATGATCTATGTCCTAATAACCCCCTTCACTTACAGACTTCCCATAACGGTTTGGAAAACCATTAAACACTTTCATGGACCCTCAGCATCTGGGATATTCTCAGCCTCACTAAAATGTATGGTCATTTATATTTTAATTATGACCTTCCAGAGACTAATGATTGCACATCTATGGCCACAGCATAAACATGGAGAAAGAAGCCTAAACTGCAATCCAGAGCTTTGATCTACAAATCTAGAGTTCTGTGTGAAGGTATAAAATTATATGATGTAGAAACACCTTTTCAAATACAAATATTTTGGGCCAGCCTGTGTCATGGTAGTTAAGGCTGATGGATCCTACATGGCTGACTGCAGTTCAAGTCCCAGACCTGATGGCTTGAAACACACTGGGCGCATAAGCGCATGTGCCAAAAATCTTGAGAGGAGAGGGGAGAAAAAGGGATTGTAGTGTGGCCATCCCTCCTGGGGAAGAGCAGGGGTGATTTCCTGCTTTCTGTCTTTCTTTCTGTCCAGTTCTACTGCAAGTGCATGTGCTCTATTGCAAAAATCCTCTCAAAAAAGAAAAAAAAGAAAGAAAAATTTTGAAAGAAGACAGAAATAGAGAAGAAGTGATTATTGTATGACCCCTTCTGCATGGGCGGGGATGCTTTTCTGCCTTCTCTCCCCACCCTCTACCTCCACCTCTCTCTCCGGTGAGTGAATGCACCCTCTGGGAAATTTATATGTGTGT